TAACAGACTCCAGTTTTCAGACAATTCTACAGCAAGCCTGCTTCAACCGTTTGCAAGGTAGAAAGAAGTATGAGTACTCTTTGGACACTGAAGTCCAACCCCAGAAAAAAGTTAAGACATGCTGTATTTTTCCGTGTATAAGACTATACTTTCCCCTAGTTTTTTAAAGTTTAAAATTGGGAGTCGTCTTATACATGGAATGTTTAAAATATTTATTTCTTAATTTTGGGCTCAAAAATAGGGGTTGCCTTATATATGGGGGCGTCTTATACATGGAAAAATAAAGTACTTAAGCCATATTAAAATCAACGGGTAGGTTGGTCACACAACTAACAAGTTCACTCTTTCTATGAATGCTTCCTTGAAGAAAAGTCTCACTGTGTTCAAGGGGCATGTTCAGAAGCAAGTGTTCCGGATAGCACTGTGAAGGTCCCTAGAATCCCCACAACTGAAGTACAACTGTCTCTAGATCAGACCCAGCTGCCAAAACATTATTCACCTACTTTATTCCCTCCCAATAGTCTCAGTAGATGAGGGTTCAGGTTTGGGTGAGGCGAGGGGGCATCATTGGCACTCTTGACAGCTCCATGCAGAGCTCAGGCTGGAGGCACAATAAGAGCAAACAACAACAACAACAACAACAACAACTTATTTATATCCCACCCATCGGGCTGAGCTTCCCCAGCCACTCTGGGCACCTTCCAACAAAATATTAAAATACAGCAATGCATCAAACATTAAAAGCTTCCCTAAACAGGGCCGCCTTCAGATGTCTTCTAAAAGTCTGGTAGTTGTTTATCTCTTTGACATCTGATGGGAGGGCGTTCCACAGGGCAGGCGCCACTACCGATAAGGCCCTCTGCCTGGCTTCCTGTAACTTGGCTTCTCGCAGTGAGGGAACCGCCAGAAGGCCTTCGGCGCTGGACCTCAGTCCGGATAGAACGATGGAGACGCTCCTTCAGGTATACTGGACTGAGGCCGTTTAGGGCTTTAAAGGTCAGCACCAACACTTTGAATTGTGCTTGGAAACGTACTGGGAGCAGGTGTAGGTCTTTCAAGACTGGTGCTATGTGGTCTCGGCGGCCGCTCCCAGTCACCAGTCTAGCTGCCACATTCTGGATTAGTTGTAGTCACCTTCAAAGGCAGCCCCACATAGAGCGCATTGCAGTAGTCCAAGCAAGAGATAACCAGAGCATGCACCACTCTGGCGAGACACTCTGCGGGCAGGTACCAGATGGAGCTGGTAAACAGCTGCCCTGGACGCAGAATTGACCTGCGCCTCCATGACAGCTGAGAGTCCAAAAATGACTCCAGGCTGTGCACCTGGTCCTTCAGGGGCACAGTTACCCCATTCAGAACCAAGGATCTCAAATTTTGCTTCAGGCATAATCATCCTCACACTGAGCCTTAACCAGAAGTTGCATCTCCATCTGAGTAGCTAGCTCGGCTTTCCATGAGCTAAGCCTCCTTGTTTAAAAGGAGCCCAGCTTGCTATATCAGTCGTCAATTCTGAAAGGGGGAGTGGGAGACGCTAGGGCTTCTCAGTTGGTCTTTGGTCAACCGAGAGCTAGGTGATCTACTCATCTCAGAGAGATGCTGGCACGATGGGGTCCTACAGCCCAGGTACTTCTGGTTTAATATAAATACCCTGATGGTTATTCTTTCCGCCACTCCAAACCTCCAGTAATATCCCTTTAAATCAGGCATAGGCAAACTCGGCCCTCCAGATGTTTTTGAGACTACAATTCCCATCATCCCTGCCCACTGGTCCTGTTAGCTAGGGATGATGGGAGTTGTAGTCCCAAAACATCTGGAGGGCCGAGTTTGCCTATGCCTGCTTTAAATCCACAAAATTCTCACCTTGGCATCTTAAATTGATGTCTGTTTTTCTTCTTCTGTGTATCTCAACCCGCATTAGATGACTTCTGAATTTGATCTGGAGAAGGGAGAACTTCTGACATACCTAGTTTGCCTGTACCAGAAGACAAAAATAAACAAAAACAAAATTTTCATTGGAGCGGGGGTGGGGGGTGGAGGACACATTTTTGCTTTGGCAGAAATCGGAAACTGCCATTTTCAAATACACAGCTGAGTTAATTTTTATGAGTGTTTCACACATATGTAAGGCAAGGGTTAAAAGAAGACAACAGTATGCTTGCACACAGAAACAAAAACACAAGAAGAGTAGCATCTGTTCTTCCTAACCACCACCATGCATAGATCTTTTAAAAATAAAAATATAGTTTTATTAATTTCCAATATACAGACACCCCCCATTTATGCATTCAGTATGTACGCAACTGTGTGTATATGTGCATTGTGCCGAACCTGGAAGTGAATTAAGAATCGCTAAAACAGCCCCAGAAGAGGCGTGAAGCTGTCAGAAAAGGTGCAAAAAACAGAACCTTGCAATCCCACAGGCCTTCACAATTGCAATCCCAAGAGGCCTTGCACCAACCATTGAGGCCTGTGGAGAGTTGGAGTTTGAAGGAAGAGGTTGAGAGAGAGGAATTGTGCTGGAGTTTGGAGGTTTTGGAGGCAATTTTTGAGTCGTTCTTTGAGATGGCACCTAAATGCACAGCCTCGTCACCTTCCTCAGGTGATGACAAACCCAAGAGTGGTACCCACGCTGGAGGAGGAATTGGAAGCGCTACACTGCTGACACGATGGCTTGAGCATGTGTGCTGTGGCACACAAGTTTGGCAGGAATTGTTAGTACAGTGGTACCTCGGGTTAAGTAATTAATTCGTTCCGGAGGTCTGTTCTTAACCTGAAACTGTTCTTAACCTGAAGCACCACTTTAGCCAATGGGGCCTCCCTGATGCCGCCACACCGCTGGAGCACGATTTCTGTTCTCATCCTGAAGCAAAGTTCTTAACCTGAGGTACTATTTCTGGGTTAGCAGAGTCTGTAACATGAAGCGTATGTAACCTGAAGCGTATGTAACCTGAGGTACCACTGTATATCAGTCCTCCATTGCTGGGTGTATGATGGTTACATCACACGTCCATGTTTACTTTCTAGGCTTGGAAAAGCCCGAGAACAGAAGCTAGCCTTATCTCTTCCGCTCTGTTGTGCTGTTGTACTTTTTACTTTCTGTTCTCTCTCGGAGCTGAAGGTAGAGGACGCTATGATCGTTTGTCCTGTAAATATTGCTGAATAAAAGCTTAGAATGAGCACACAATTCTCCAATTCGTTTCTGCTGATCTCTGTTGAGTGTGCGTGCACATAGGCATCTGCTATGTGTCACTGGAGCATCCTGGGACTATTGATTTATGGATGTCCCGGAGCTGTGCAACACCAGGAAGACGCCCAGAGAGGTTTCGTCTCATCTCGGGGGCTGCATGCCCCCCCCCGGCGTATCCTCGTACCTACAGGACCGCCTCTTCTGGTATGCCCCACGGAGGACCTTAAGGTCCATATATAGCAACACCCTAGAGGTCCTGGGCCCTAAGGAAGTTAGATTAGCCTCAACCAGAGCCAGGACCTTCTCAACACTGGCTTCGGCCTGGTGGAACGCTCTGTCTCATGAGACCAGGGTCCTGCGGGATCTGATTTCTTTCCGCAGGGCCTGTAAGACAGAGTTGTTCCAACTGGCCTTTGGCTTAGAATCAGTTTGATTCCCTCCCCTCTTTCTTTTTCCTTTCTCCTCCGGTGAAGAGGCTACATCCTAATGTTTTAATGTTGTATTTTAATCTTTTTTAAATTGTATTTTAATAAACTTCTTTTTATTATTGGTTGTTAGCCGCCCTGAGCCCGGTCTTGGCTGGGGAGGGCGGGGTGTAAATAAAAATTATTATTATTATTATTATTATTATTATTATTATTATTATTATTATTATTCTGACAGGAATGAGTCCAGAATACGTGCCGTTAAGGTACAAGAGAAGAAAATCCGGGCATTGGAGGCAGCAAGTGCCTGTACACCCACAACTGCCAAGGTCCCCAGCCACGTGCAGGATGAGGCCCTGTTGAAGGCTCGTGAGGCACTGAACCAATGGCTAGAAGACATGAACCGCCAGCATATCCCCATTGATGGCAGCACCTTGCGCAAGAAGAATCTCATACTGTATGTGTACTTCAGGCAGCCTGAGAATGAGTTCTGAGCCAGTTCTGGCTTGCTGACCCACTTCAAACAATGCTTCGATTTGAAGAACATTGGCACCTGTGTTGAAGCTGTGTCCATGGACCATGAGGCTGCCCAAAAATGTCTTGACCATCTGAAGAGACAGAAGCCCCAGCTGCCCATCATCATGTTCTTCCCCAAGACACCATTAGCTCCACCAAGTGAGTCTCACCCACAGCCAAGCACTTTGGGGGTACCGGTCCACCCTGCTTGTCATTGTTTGCAAATTGTGCTTCAGCAATGAGGAAGACTGAGTGCCTCCATTGCCACCATTCCTACCCGTCCGGTAGGGCTGCTGGTTTGTAAAAGGGTCTTTTTTTCTGGGGTTCCCAGAGGTTTTAGTCTGCAGGGTTTTTCAACGGGTGCCTCAATTAAACACAATTTCACCTATCCACACAGTGCCTCGGAAGGTAACCCCCACCTATATGGGTGGGTGTTGCTGTAGAAGGGAAAAAGATACAAAAACAAAATCCTAATTTGCCACCCACACGTAGAAATCCTTACTGTAAAAACACATTCATGCCTGAACTCTCAATTATACTTACTAGGTTTTGAAGGTTACCAGAAAAGCAATTTTGTCTAGATCTGCAATATGATCAAGATAGGACATGCAAAGGACAGGTCATAAAGGAGTCAGGGTTCTCTGTGCAGACAAGCACAGAAGGCAGGCAAGCGCAAGGATTTAAGAGTATTAAACGTACAAGGACATATCGAGGGTCTTCGCTGCAAAGAGTAGCTTGCCCCTGCTTGCTTATGGGATCCCAACTTAACCATCGCTCGATTTGGGCAGGCTCTGAAGTGAGCTGCTGTATATTACTGGTGCCATAAGGTATGGCAGCTGGCCTTTGCAGAGAAGGTCAACTACAAAATAAAAGGCACACAAGCGCATTCGAAAAAGATTACTTTATCGGGGAGCATTATGATTTTACTATATGTGTTAATAAACAAAAACCTAACCTATCCTCTCCTTCCCACCATGTAAGACTTTGTAACTTATGATAATTCTATGCTGGTGTGCATTGTTCGGGCTACTTTCTTCTAATTTTGCTAACTTGAACAAAAATTATGAATGACCTGAAAGGAAATATTTTTTGGTTATGATCTTCTTTTCTCTTGTCCTGTCATAGCTCAGCAAATGATGTTCAGCTTTCGATTGTCACATAAATGTATTGTGAAACTGGGAATATTGTTTGGATATGGACAGTCTTTCTTTTTCTCCTCTGTGCCTTTTTTGTTGTAATGTCTGTTTCATATGTATATGTATATGTATATGTATATGTATATGTATATGTATATGTATATGTATATATGTGTTTGTGTGTGTGCACTGCAGTGAAAAAAAGAGTGTTAGAAATCGGGACAGAAGTGCTTGGATTGTAACCTGTAAAACTCGTTCAATAAACCAAGCATCTGAATGCAGCTTCTGTGCAGTATGGGCTGAAAAAGAACTTGCAGATTGTTTTAAGAATTTTAAGGTCTCAAGTGTAGAATAAATATTCATAAATGCACAAATATCTAAATATATGAACCATGCGTCTGAAATAGTATGTGAGAGCAATCCTGAAGCCATTTTGACTCTCCCAATGAACTCAAATATTCTTCTGCAGTAAGGGAGGCAAACAGGGAAAGCCTTCCCATTGTCTTTTTGCTTGCAAATCCTGTCTTAAGGGCGTATTTGTGTATGAATAGGGTGAGCCTGTGACCTGGATTCAGGAACTAAAGTATTAACCATCACAAAAGAATGGCCAGACTGCCCAGGTAATGCAATCAGTGACCATTTTCAGGTATCCGGGCAGTCAGGTTTTCTGCTGTAGACTGCTTTCTTTTGTGATGTATGTATGTATGTATGTATGTATGTTTTGAGATGGTGGCCTTGGGCTACAGGGTGGGCAATTTCAAAAATCTATAAAAGGGCTTGCACACCATCGTTTAGGGTTCTCCCTCCTGAGTGTGGTGAGTGGGGACCCTCTTTCAACAGTTCCTTTAATAAAGATCAGGCTTACTAGCCACTTTGCTTCTCAATTTACAGTCATACCTCGGGTTAAATGTGCTTCAGGTTGAGCATTTTCAGGTTACGCTCCGCAGCGACCTGGAAGTAACGGAGCGCGTTACTTCCGGGTTTCACCGCTCGCGCAGATGCTCAAAATGACGTCACACACATGCGTGGAAGCGGCAAATCACGACCCACGCAGACGCGGGTTGCGTTTGCTTCAGGATGTGAACAGGGCTCTAGAACGGAGCCCGTTCGCATCCAGAGATGCCTCTGTTGGCCTCTGTTATTTTCTCCTACCGATAGGACTCTATACGGGCTCTGGAATACCCCATAAGGGAAAGGGAGCAGTTTTTCTTATAACACAGATCAAAAATAGTACCCACAGTTAGAACCGCCAAGAAGTATAAACAAAACAAAACAAAAATTCCTTCCAGTAGCACCTTAGAGACCAACTAAGTTTGTTATTGGTATGAGCTTTCGTGTACATGAAGTGTGCATGCACACAAAAGCTCATACCAATAACAAACTTAGTTGGTCTCTAAGGTGCTACTGGAAGGAATTTTTTTGTTTGTTTGTTTCAACTATGGCAGACCAACACAGCTACCTACCTGCGCCAAGAAGTATGTTACTTGTACCCCTGGCCATTTTGGCTTTTGTCACAAAGGGTTCTGCCATCCTATCAAAACCATGGAACAGTAAATTGTATCCCTGGGATGCAATCATAGAATCAAAGAATCATAGAATTGTAGAGCTGGAAGGGTCCCCAAAGGTCATCCAGCCCAACCCCCTGCATTGTGGGAAATTATATTGGGACCAGCAGATGAGCCAGTTTTATAACTAAATGAGCATACACAGGGCATGAAAAAGCTGGCGACTACAAAGTCAGAGCTGAAATTTACAAGATGCCAACCTTCTGATCGTTAGAGAAACTGGACAAAACTGACTCACTTTCCAGGGCTGAAAGCTAGTTGTTCGCAGTCATCAGCACCAGCCTAATCTGAAATGGCAGAATGAATGTTATCAGGGGAGGGCACTTGAAAAGTAGAAAGAACCAGCTTGAATAGCAAGGAGTACGAGACGCTGTCAGTATAAGCAGTCACTAGAGGTGGTGGAATGGGCTGGTTGAGTCCTGCTAAGACCAGTATTATGACAGATGTTTCCAGTTGTGTATCAATGACCTTGGGGAAAGAATGTGCAGCTGAAGATACAAAATTGGTAGGTCATTCCATGCGACCAAGGGGTGGGGGGCAGAAAAAGAGTGACCTAGTTAAATGAGGGGCATGAGTAAATACTTGAATAAACAAAACAAAGCCCTGCGATAGCAAGAGGGGGAAAGGAAGAAAACCCAAGAAGCACCCGCTGCAAGCCAAGAATTCAGAGGCGGACTGTTCTCAAACCTCCCAGAGTCAAGTTCACTGTCAAAGGCCAAACTTAATGAATGAATGTGTGCGTGTAACGATTGGAGATAACAACTGTGGTTAAATAAAAGACAGAAAGGGCATCTGTACATGAGATTCCCCCTGTCATTCAATATTATAGTAAAACACAATAACTGGTTATTCAGTTTTATAATGGTTAATATATTAAACATTATCTCCAAGCAGTGTACGGAAAACTGAAGCAACAACAGACAAACAAAATATTACAAAAATACACAGGTTGCATTAAAAACTGCTACATTAATACCAAGTTACTTACACACACACACATACACACACACACACACACACACAGTGGTACCTCGGGTTAAGTACTTAATTCGTTCTGGAGGTCTGTTCTTAACCTGAAACTGTTCTTAACCTGAAGCACCACTTTAGCTAATGGGGCCTCCTGCTGCCACTGCACAATTTCTGTTCTTATCCTGAATCAAAGTTCTTAAACTGAAGCACTAATTCTGGGTTAGCGGAGTCTGTAACCTGAAGCATATGTAACCCGAGGTACCACTGTGTGTGTGTGTGTGTGTGTGTGTGTGTGTGTAAACAAGCAAGATCAGTTCATTTTCCTTCTGACACATCCTCAGCGTTATCAAAAGCCCCCGAAACAGATTGCTTGGCAGGCTCTCTTCTCTTTGACTGATGAGCTTAAGTCAGTCTGAACTTCTGGCAAAGGGCTCTGTTTACTCTTAGAAAGCAAGCGTTTATCATGTGGCTTGCCAAACAGCAAACACTTCTCTCTCTTTTTGAAGGGGACACTGTGCTCTACCTATTTTAAAGGGCAAGAGAGACGCCTGGCCTGAACTTCTGGTTTAATGTTTGAGAAAACTAAAACAAAGGTTGTGACGTCTTTGGAAGCACCTTGGAACAGGTAGCCTGAGAGCCCTATCTGCGTCAGAAATGATTACTGTAAAGCAGGGATCGGCAAACTTTTTCAGCAGGGGGCCGGACCACTGTCCCTCAGACTTTGTGGTGGGCTGGACTATATTTTGAAAAAAAGAAGAACGAATTCCTATGCCCCACAAATAACCCAGAGATGCATTTTAAATAAAAGGACACATTCTACTCATGTAAAAACACGCTGATTCCCGGACCGGATTTAAAGCGATTGGGCCGGATCCGGCCCCCGGGCCTTAGTTTGCCTACCCATGCTTAAAAGTCTTCCTCTTCTTCCATCCTGTCCAGGAATCATTGAACTGTAGAGCTGGAAGGGACCAATCTAGTCCAACTCCCTGCAATGCAGGAATCTCGGCTAACGCATCCATGACAGATGGCCACCCAAGCTTTGCTTAAATACTTCTAATGAAGGAGAGACCACAACCTTCCAAGGGAGTACATTCTGCTGTCAACTGAACAGCTTGACCCCCTTTTCACCAATCCTTTCTCTTCTTCTTCTTCTTCTTCTTCTCTTCCTTCACATCTTTGGCTTAAAAAACAAAACAAAAACACGCTGCGTCTTACCAATTTACAAATTCTAGTTGGAAAAAAATCCAGTGTCCGGCCTACAGTTGTATTCCAATCATTGCTGCCCTAGACAGCATCTTAAAAAGAAGCAGAGACATCACCTTGCCAACAAATGTCCGTATAGTTAAAACTGTGGTGTTCCCAGTAGTGGTGTATGGAAGTGAGAGCTGGATTAGACTTGGTATACTTATTTGTACAACATTATTCTTGTTTATAAGGGACGCGGGTGGCGCTGTGGGTAAAAGCCTCAGCGCCTAGGGCTTGCCGATCGAAAGGTCGGCGGTTTCGAATCCCCGCGGCGGGGTGCGCTCCCGTTGCTCGGTCCCAGCGCCTGCCAACCTAGCAGTTCGAAAGAACCCCGGGTGCAAGTAGATAAATAGGGACCGCTTACTAGCGGGAAGGTAAACGGCGTTTCCGTGTGCTGCGCTGGCTCGCCAGATGCAGCTTTGTCACGCTGGCCACGTGACCCGGAAGTGTCTTCGGACAGCGCTGGCCCCCGGCCTCTTGAGTGAGATGGGCGCACAACCCCAGAGTCTGTCAAGACTGGCCCATACGGGCAGGGGTACCTTTACCTTTTACCTTTTATTCTTGTTTATAAAACCCAATTAAAAAAATAAAAAAATAACCAGGATTAGAATACTGCTGTGTTAAGAGAAGTATGCTTACGGCATTACCTTCAAAGGAAGACCGCCTGATGGAAATCTTGGAAGACGCAGAGATGGCAAAACTGACGGCACTGATAAGAGACAGAAGTTTAGACTCTTTCAAGGACTGGAAAACCCTTCTGGTAACTTTCCATAGGCTAAGTTCACAGCAGGGCTTGAAGTCTAAGAAGAAGAAAAATAGCAGAACATAGTAAGAAATCTGTTAAAAAGAATGAAACCGGGTAAGATGGAATTCTTAAAATACAACTGTGATTATAAACGTTGAGTGTGGGTGAGTCATTAGTATTGTAGAATAGGATTATAACCGCTGAGTGGCATGGTGTAACTTTGAATATTGAAATAAAATACAGTGGTACCTCGCAAGACGAATGCCTCGCAAGACGGAAAAATCGCAAGACGAAAGGGTTTTTGGTTTTTGAGTTGCTTCGCAAGACGATTTCCCCTATGAGCTTGCTTCGCAAGACGGAAACGTCTTGCAAGTTTGTTTTCCTTTTTCTTAAAACCGTTAATACAGTTGCGACTTGACTTCGAGGAGCAACTCATAGCACGCAGTGTGGTAGCCTTTTTTGAGGTTTTTGAAGACTTTGGTGATTTTTGAAGCTTTTCCAAAACTTTTCCGAAACCGTGCTTTGCAAGACGAAAAAAATCGCAAGACGAAAAAACTCGCGGAACGAATTAATTTCGTCTTGCGAGGCACCACTGTAAAGTAATAAAAGGGAATGGAACGCGGGTGGCGCTGTGGGTTAAACTAGAGCCTAGGACTTGCCGATCAGAAGGTCGGCGGTTCAAATTCCCGAGACGGGGTGAGCTCCTGTTGTTCGGTCCCAGCTCCTGCCAACCTAGCAGTTTGAAAGGACGTCAAAGTGCAAGTAGATAAATAGGTACCGCTCCGGCGGGAAGGTAAACGGCGTTTCTGTGCGCTGCTCTGGTTCACCAGAAGCAGCTTAGTCATGCTGGCCACATGACCCGGAAGCTGTCTGCGGACAAACGCCGGCTCCCTCGGCCTATAGAGCGAGATGAGCGCCACAACCCCAGAGTCGGTCACAACTGGACCTAATGGTCAGGGGTCCCTTTACCTTTAATAAAAGGGAAAGAAAGGCAGCGAAGACTTAAAGAGTATGTGGGAAATGCTTGGTAAAATATCAAATGCTCAGTAGTTGGGGGAAACAAGGAGCATGAGCAGTTTCCTGTAATCAGGGAAAGGGCTTCAGCGGAAGCAGAGAACAGTAGCGATTTGTGTTTCTTTTGTGTAGGAGTTTGCTTTCCAGCCTTGACGCAGTATATATGGTCCTGTCTGCAGTACTGGCAAGTGTCTCTCTTAAGACTGTATGAATGGGTGGGTTGATTCATTAAGAAGTTGTGAATCAGTTGCCCAAGGAAAATAAACAGTAAAGAATGGAAATTAGCTCAGCACTGTAGAGGTGGTGATAAGTTTATCATCTTCTTTTCCATGAGCTTCCGTGGGTGAAAGCTACTTTCATGACTCACGAAGGGGGCAGATACTCTCTCTTTTCCAAACTAGTTCCCAGGCATGGGTGCAAACCTTAAACTTGCCGAGTAAGCGCTGAGTCATCATGTAATCCAATTTGCTTGGTATAGCTACGTGTATGAGTCACCGACCAGCCAAAACTGGGATTTCTTGGAATCGCAACACTAAAACACACATGTGACACTGCTACCTTATCTTCTGATACACTTGATTTGTGCCTCTTACAGACACACAAACGCTCCCAAAGGAACAATTGCCAGACCTGTTCTCTGCAATTCACGGAGAACTCATGAGGACTTGCACATAAACTTTAATTCCTAGCCAACTGTATCAATGGCCAGTCTTACACGGTGCCACTTCTTAGGAAATTCTAGCATAGCAGACTGGAAATGTCTACTGTAAATCAACTACGTACAGTCATACCTCGGGTTACAGACACTTCAGGTTGCATTTTTTCGGGTTATGGACCCGCCGAAACCCGGAAGTACCGGAACGGGTTACTTCTGGGTTCTGGGGGTTGTGCATGCGCAGACTCGCCGCTGCGGGCTGCGAACGTGCATCCCGCACGGATCACGTTCGCAACCCACGTGTCCACTGTAGAGTGGTACCTCGGGTTAAGAACTTAATTCGTTCCAGAGGTCCGTTCTTAACCTGAAACTGTTCTTAACCTGAAGCACCACTTTAGCTAATGGGGCCTCCCGCTGCTGCCACACTGCGATTTCTGTTCTCATCCTGAAGCAAAGTTCTTAACCTGAGGTACTATTTCTGGGTTAGCAAAATCTGTAACCTGACGCGTCTGTAACCTGAAGCGTCTGTAACCCGAAGTACCACTGTATTGGAAATGTTGCAACATCACTCACACTGTTGCTTTCTGCAGAACTGAACTGCAAGGAGATAATGTTGGAACTGCCCTGTTGTCTGGAAGAAAGTGGTGATATATGGACTTGCTGAACATTAACCAGCAGGGAACATCTTTAGTTAAACAAAACACAAGGAACCAACATTCAATTTCCTAACCTTTAATCCATTACAGGGCAAACTGAACACTAGAAAACAGACACGAAGGGTATAAATGGCTTTTTATAGAATTGTGCTTTTTTAACATTATTAGTTATAGGGGAGGATAACAGCCTGTGTTGAAGTTGACAGCCAGCTGCAGAGATACCATATTTCTCTGTGTATAACACGGCCCCATGTAAGAGACCCCTACTTTGGAGCCCAAAATTTAGAAATCGTATTGTTGTGGAGCTTTATGGGGGCGATCCCCTGATCGGTCCTCCCCGTCTCAGCACAGCCTTGCCTCGCCAGCCATTTCCGGCCCTGAGTGCCTTGCCAACTCACCCAATACTTACCATATAATCTGTGTCAGTGTGCCTCGCAAGACGAATTAATTCGTTCCACGAGTTTTTTCGTCTTGCGATTTTTTTCGTCTTGCGCAGCACGGTTTCGGAAAAGTTTTGGAAAGCTTCAAAATCCACCAAAGTCTTCAAAAACCTCAAAAAAAGGCTACCACACCGTTTGCTATGAGTTGCTCCTGAAGTCAAGTCGCAACTGTATTAACGGTTTTAAGAAAAAGAAACGAACTTGCAAGACGTTTCCGTCTTTGCGAAGCAAGCCCATAGGGAAAATCGTCTTGGCGAAGCAACTCAAAAAAACCGAAAAACGTTTTCGTCTTGCGAGTTTCCGTCTTGCGAGGCATTCGTCTTGCGAGTACCACTGTATAAGACAACCTCCAATCTTTGCCTAAAAATTGGGGGGAATCATTGTCTTGTATACGGAAAGAATACGGTATAAAATCTTGATGCTCTTGTAAATATCAAAGACAGCACTAGCACCGACTTCAATTGAACATAAAATTGGGAGAAGTCTGGATTACAGTGACTTGGCTGAGGACTTTACTTCCAAGAAGGAAGTTCATTTCATTGAATAGGATGGACTCTTGTCTATACTGTTATTTATCAGTAAACTGACTGTCACCAATTTACCATAAGTCATACAATATGCTTTTTAAGAAGGGTTTCTTCTTTTCTGTTTCTGTTTCCATAAGAGCATCACATATGAAGCAGTGGCGTAGCGTCTGTTGTCAGCACCCGGGCAAGGCAAGTAATTTGTGCCCCTAACCCGTGGATTTGCGCCCCCTAACCCGTGGATTTGCGCCCCTAACCTGTGGATTTGCCCTAACCCCAGATGTTGCGCCCGGTGCGGCCGCCCCCCGCACCCCACGCTACGCCACTGGATGTACTCACAGACACAGCTCTCCAATAATAGGGTTAACAACACTGGCAGCACAGCAACAAAAAACAAAACTATACTCCTAGTCCAGAAGTCCCTACCCCAGAAGAGTCAATCCAGCTTTCTTCCCCCCTTTCCTTGTTTTTTTATTGTCTTTCAGTTTTAACTCCCTACTCCACTCAAACTGGCTTCAATGCAATGCTGTCAATCAGTGGAGGGTGGGTTTTCTTCCAGTAGTGGTCTTGCAGAGATAGATTTGAAGAGATGGCAAAATGTTTAGCTGCTCTGCAGTTGTCCTGACTGCTGCATGTCTGCTGGGATACATTTGCTTCCTTCACTTTGTAAGTTAAGTACTAAATTCTGCAATCACTTAGATAAACTCTCCTCTCCTTTACACTGTGCTAAGTTCTATCAGAGAGGATGATACTTCTGCTGCAGTGCCAAATGTGGGAGGGTCTTTCCCCAAACCCCGAGTCCCCAAGGCTAAGGGTACGTTCCTTTACCCAGCATTTTCTGTTTCTCTGAATGCTTCTCTCCCATAGCAACATTATATATTTGCATGTCTTTATATGCTTGTTGTTCTTGTCCATGAGTTTTCTTGGCAGGGATACTGGAGTGCTTTCCGGTTCCGCTGGAAGGACAGATCCTAAGCTGAGGCTCCAATACTTGGGCACCTCATAAGAAGAGAAGACTCCCTGGAAAAGACCCTGATGTGGAAAGATGGAGGGCACAAGGAGAAGAGGACAACAGAGGACGAGATGGTTGGACAGTGTTCCGAAGCTACCAACATGATCTGACCAAACTGCAGGAGCAATTGGTGTGCTCGGTCCTTGGGTCACGAAGAGTCAGACATGACTAACGACTAAACAACAAATAAGGTCTTGGAAAGAGGGGAGTGAGCTGCCCCTACATTCATTTCTCATTCATAAACCTCTTCCTTTCTCTCAGAGGACACAATGAAACATTAAAATCTACAGGAGAAAAGAAAGTTCTGCATCTTATCACAATACCCTTCAGGTTGCATGTAATCTAGAGGTTTGCTACAAGCCCAGGAAAGGAATTATGGGTGCTGATGCATGTTCCTCTCCTCTTTCCTCTTTCTCTCTCACTAATAATATTAATCATAGCCCATTAGCGCTAATGATCTTCATCCAGACTTCTATCCAGTCTACTTGAATTTGAACGAAAAGTTTATAATAATGCTTCTCTCTCAAAATAATGCTAATTGGCCTTGCCATCTATGAGAAGACTTCTTGTAAGCAGTATCATCTTCTATATCTCATTGTATATATAAGCTACAGAGTTATCCAAGCTCTGTCTACAGCACATTTGGAAGGTAGGCATAGATCAATTCTTGTAGTTATACATATTTAATACATTGCATCTGCTAAGCATGGTGATCTGTGTAAACACACACGTGTGTCTTAACACTTGTAGCATCTTTAATTTCACATTGACCAAAGGCTGCTGTCTCTCAGGTTTCCTGAGGACATACCCATAAAGAGTTCATCTTTTCAAAGTACTCAAAGAAATTACCTTCTGTCTTGCACTGAGCTAGTTCAGAGATGTGCCTATCTGG